TCACCTATTTTTTTTGCTTAAGTAGGCAAGATGGGCAAATAGCCAGGGTTCCATAGCTCAACGGAGCTGTTTCCCGGTTTTATATTGGATCAAAACAAGCCAAATTCAAATTTAACGCTTAAGGCACCTTCATATTGGACGCTTATCTAAGCGCTGCAGTAGTGCCATTACTAATACTACTATAGTACCAGCACGCTATGATGGCCGTTTTGACGTTTGTCCGCTCATCAAATTTCATATTAATTCATAATTACGTTGAAGGAGTTAATTGCTGGACATTGTTGTCAATAGTGACGAGTAGTAAAATTTATGGAATGTATGATTTTACGACACAACACGGCATTTGTTGTTCGAAATTCGAAATTTTTAAAAATGAAATCTAATACGATCGTCACTTATGGGGTCGCTGGCTAGCACAACTTCTATTTTCGGCAAACTCGCGTCAAAGCTCTATGCAAAACAAAGCATTTCGAATTGACGGTATATTAAGTAAACATTTTTATTTTCGTTTTATTAAAACTTTTTATTCAGCTGCCCCTTGCAGTACCTACTCGTTATAAATCTAAAAAACTTACAGATGTGACTCGCATTTGATTATATTTTTTTCGATAATGAATTGAGATTTAACCTCACTATTGTAATCTGTCAAAGCGGCCATCATAGCGTACTGGTACTGTAGTATTTAATATTGTTTGAAAATTAGTGTTAGTACTCATTTTCAAGCAACACTTTTGAAGACTATATTGTATGAATATTAGAACAGACGCGCCACTGTAGCGCTTCTAGAAGTTTCAATTTATTCAAGTCTAATGTGAAGTCGCCTTTAAGATTGAAATTCAACTTTATGTCACTTATTGAGGTCTTAGCATAGAACAGACAAAATGTAAACAAAATATAATGACTAAAATTTATATTATCATTTGTCCGGTTGTGGCGAACGCAAAAGGGTCTCATTCAGCTTATGTCACAGCCATAATGAGGCTGCTGGTTTGAGGGTGCTGATTTTCAGTGAATAGAGGGTGGGCGAGAGAGAAGTTTGTCAGGGTGTAGCGATTGTGACATTCATGGTCTCTCTTACAGCAGTGAGAGACAGGCGCGATTATCCGTACGTACATATTATGTCTTATTGGTATACCCTTATAACTTTTTCAGGGAAAAGGCTGAGTAGCAGTAGAGTGTGAAAGAGTTTTGTCCAGGGAAGTTCTGCCACCTTACCTATTTTTGCTGATGAAGTTACTGGCACATGGGACTTGTCAATTTATGTTTCAGAGTAACGGGTTCAGCAGTAGCGGTGCTGCTCAGACCCTTGAGATTTAAAGCTCAAGACTCAATACTCAAGCTCTGAGTAGCACTGGAACTGTCATGGGTAGGCGTGGCGCTTATCAACAGGCCCACGACTTGTTTTGTACCGTCTCTTGATATCATAAAAAAAAGGTAAAGGCACATAGATTATCAATTTCAATCAGATTTCGAGTTCTTAGGTTTTCGCGATTGTTACGCATAGGAAATGAAACTATTTTTCCGGATTAAAATCGCGTATATTCGTTTTTTCAATTTTACATTAATTTTTACAAATTATTTTATTGAATGAATTTTTATTAAGTTCAATTTATTATTAATTATTAATGTAGCGTAAATTGGAATGTTTTGTAAAATTAAAAATAAGGTATTTGATTAATAACTATTGTAACTATAGTGAAAAAATTAGGTGGTTTGCATCAATATTAGACATAACTGGTTGAAGACTGTACCACCTCAGTCAACCGTGACCATGGGACCTGTAAAGGGCCCGAAACGTCGGTTTTGTTTGAAAAAACAGATATACGCGATTTAAATCCGGAAAAATAGTTTCATTTCAATCAGATTATCAATTTTATATCTCAGGGTGACGGGTGCAGTGGTAATTCCCCCAGGTTTTTATTATGGTTAGGCGTAACGCATACTAGTGGGCCCACGACTTGTTCATACTGTCACTTACTATTTTAAAAATGTAATAATACCAGAGTAATGCAATCGCAGATACTACAAGAGTTCCTCATAATAAGAAAGTAGTTTTTCGTATACTTCTACTTCACAACTTCACCTTGGACCGGCATCAAAGTCTGATAGGAAATTTTTCAAGAAAACACTTGTATATCCTCGATGTTATATCAAGAGTATTACTGCAGTCCTTACTCGTCTGCTCACTCGTTAACCTTGTGAAGGGGTTTGATTGAGATGTTCAGGGCTATTGGAAAACAGATAATATGTCAATATGTTGTTCACAGTGACAGTGGTTGCCTGTTACACTGATGCGTAAGCTGTTTTGAAAGCGATGTATTTTTTTAATAGTGTGTTTAGTTCCTTGTGAAAGAGTTCGTCCAGGGAAGTACTGCCACCTTACCTATTTCTGCCGCCAAGCAGTAATGTCAGCATTATTGTGTTCCGGCTTTGAAGGGCAAGGGTGCTGGTGAAATTAGAGGCACATGAGGCTTGTCAACTTAGGGTAACGGACGCAGCGGCAGTGCACCTCAGATCTTTGCGATTTAAAGCTCTGAGTACACAGAAAAAAAACGATTTCTACTAATAAGAAAGAGCAATTTCTCAAAATATTTCCTAATTCTAAAAAAATATTTATTAAAAGTAATTGAATGAATGAATGAATTTGTCTAGTCAATTTCGACGGTAATAGACGTGTCTGTGGTGTGTGTTCGTCGCTGTGTAATCCTGGCTATATAAGTGTTTTATTTTACGTCAGAATAGACACCAAAATAAAGCCTATAAAACAGACCAAGTGACAGTGAAATTCATGTTGTGATTTGTCAAGTATTATAGTGCTAAAAAATAAGAAAACTGAAAACCTAATTTAAACCTGCGTTCCGTTTCGTCATTTGTATTTACTGTCTCTTTCTCTCGCGATTCATACGTATGGTGTTATCTCGCTCTTTCAGCGGTGCAATATTTTTGCTTAACCTACCTGCTACTGCAAATAGTGTGAAAAAACAGTTTGTATAAAGTAAAATTCTTATAAACAATTAAAAATGATTTGTCTAGCATGCAATATCGCCATTCAGTGCATAGAAAGTGAGTCACTTGTTTGCTGTGTGTGCCGTTCTGCATATCACTTTAAATGTCTGAATATAACCAAAGCGCACTTCGTTCAAAATAAACACCAGTTAAAAAGAAAGTGGAGCTGTGAAAATTGTTGTAATGTGTCTAGGCGTCGTTATAATGGAGATGAAACTCCGGTAACTCCAATAACAAAGAAGATGTTTCAATCGCCCATCGAAAATACAAATACGTGTGAAAATTTTGTGAAAAACACGGGTGAGGGTGTGTTCGCTTCTACCGCATCGGCTGGGTCCACGGTTGCCGGCGGCGCGGGCGCTGTCACTACAACTCCTGCGGCGTTGGTTTCTTCTGCTGCAAGCTCGTCATCTGCTCAGTTTGACATCAGTCAAATAACGAGTTTATTCGACGCCAGATTTGAAAAACTTGATGCAAAACTGGACACTTTCTGTGTCTCCATATCGAAGGACATAAAGACGGCAATTGAGCAACTCAAGCTCGATTTCACTCGCACAACTGATTTTTTGGAGGGTAAGATATCGGACGTCGAAGGGTGCTACAAAAATATCAAGGATCAGGTGCTGGTTTTGCAGACGGAAAACTCTAAGTTGCACACGGAACTGTTTGCTCTCAAAACGCAGATCATCTCGCCAGAGAAATGTGAATCACTTCAGCAATCTATCGCCAAATTGCAGTACGAACTAAACGAAAAAGAACAGGAAGCGATAATTAATGACATTGAGATCGGCGGTGTGCCGGAGTATCATAATGAGTCTGCAGCACACTTGATCACAACCATTGCTGCTAAAATTGGAGTAAACCTGGACACCAGGGACATCGTGAGCGCGACGCGAGAGGGATTGGTGCGGCCGACACGAGTGGGTGATTCACGTGGCCCGCGCCGTGTTATCGTCAGGCTGTCCAGGAGGGCTGTGCGTGACGAGTTACTCCGGGCGGCGCGGTCGCGTCGAAACACTGACACCACTGGTCTTGGACTTCCATCGCATGATACAAAGAAGGTTTACATAAATGAAAGGTTAACAAAAACAAACCGCATCCTGTTCGCTAAAGCTCGGGCAGCTCGTGTAGCCATGAACTGGAGGTTTGTCTGGACGAGGGAAGGTCGAATTTTTGCTAGAAAGTCGGATTCTGCTGATTCACCAACTCATCGAGTGAGATGCGAAGAGGACATTGACCGTATTTTCAACAATACTCATGCTAAACAAGTACAGTGACTATGTGAATTGTGTAATATGCAAAAATCATTCTTATTAGAGTGCAATTTTGTGTATATTATAAAGGCTTTTGTAATATTTTTCTCAGTATATTTACTCTGTAGAACAAATAAAATTTTGTCTTGTACATTTGTTTTTAAAATGATGTTTTGGTCTGTATTTAAAAATGCTACTTTTAATGAATGCAGTGTCAGTGCAAGTCGGCTTACATTAATTAAATTTTTAGATGAAAATTTACAAAGTGTGTGCATTGTAAAAAGTGTAATCGGCAAACCCCTCTTACGAGTATATCAAGCATCTATTATTTATATAAGCTTTTCTGTTTTATTGATGATAGTCTACATTTTACTTAATGTGCTCTGGTTTTTTTATACTAACAAGTTCCACTTACTTTTATGTAAATGTGTAAATTTCAGTCAAAGTAAGTCAGTGTTGAATTTCATATGCTTTGTTAAATCTAAAGTAGACATACGATGCCTTAGCCGTTTTACAGTAACATTTTACCTTATAATTATAGCTGTATTTGTCGACTGGCCCAAATGTGAAATTCATTGTTATTATTTAGTTAGTGCATATCGCAATGTATGTACTGGCCTCTTAGAGCAGTCCGGTACTCGATGGTGTAATGCAAATAATTTTTTGTCATATACAAAAGTGAAATGTCTTTATTGTACAATACTGTTTGGAGTGATATATGGGTGCATTCTTTTTGTCATGGCCGGCAGTGATCACTACGCATTATTAATAATAATAAATGATACTTACCTACTAAGTTTTGGTTTTATATCTTACCTGAACTATCCCACTAATAATTTAATAATAGTCTTATTCTTATATTTTCTATTAATCATACTACTATATCTGCACGTTTACTATTTTATTGTTACTAATATTATTTGTTTTTTTGAACTAAACATACACAATAACAACTACTTATATTCTAAATGGTTAATACAAAATTTCTGAAGGTTGGTCTTTACAATGCTGGGTCGCTGGGTACTAAACATGATGAGTTGCAGTTAGTTATTAGTAATAAATTGCCGGATATTCTCGCAATAAATGAGACGTGGTTGCGGGAAGGGGAGGAGGGGCGAGCGCCGACCCTGGCTGGCTACCGACTAAGGCACATGCCCCGACCAACTGGTCAGCGTCGGGTACGCGGTGGAGGTGTAGGATTTTACGTAAAACGAGGCATACACGCACGCACACTGCCACATCCTCCTTCCCCTTCGAAAGCGGAGCAGATGTGGCTTGCTGTCAATATAGAATCTGTTCGTCTTTTAGTGGGCACTGCCTATAGACCCGAATGGTTCAATGTAGATGAGTTTTTTGATGCACTGACGGAATCATTGTTCTCGTTCGGTAACTATGATCATGTGATATTAGTGGGAGATTTTAACATAGATTGTTTTGATTCCAACAGTACAAAGTACAAACAACTTACACAATTTTTGAATTATACAAATCTCTCAAATTATGTCAATATGCCAACACACTTCACGTCATCTAGCGCTACTTTGATAGATTTGGTTTGTTCAGATGCTCCAATCCTACAGGTAAATGTAGATCATCGTCCGGAACTCGGTGGCCATGCAATTGTTATGACTGAATTTAAAATAAAACGACCCAAAATTAACCCTAAATTAATTTCGTACCGACCAATTAAACATATAGATTTGAAACTGTTCGACGCTGATCTTGAGGAGACAGGCTGGGATGGTATAGTTGGAATGAGTGATGTAAATGAAATGGTAGCACTATTCAACACTTTAATTTTAAATTTAATGAATAAGCATGCCCCAGTGAAGCAGGTTGTAATTAGGGACAAGCAACAGCCGTGGTTTACTGATAATGTCCGTCATATTATGAGACTCAGAGATAAAGCTCAGCGTCAGTACCGTAAGACAAATAGGGATACACACAAAACTCAATACAAAGTGATGAAACACCTTGCTAACACCAGTCTTTACCACGAAAAAACTGCTTTCTTTGGCCAGCAAATTAACTCCAATTTAAACAATCCCAAGTTGCTTTGGAAACGATTGAGGAATACAGTTGTCCCTTTCAAAAATGAGCCTGAACTTCCTGTGTTTTTGCGTGATCCTGATGCTATGAATGAAGCTTTTCTCGATATCCCGGATGACAATGGTGCATGTATGTCGGATCTCTCTTATTTTGAATGCCATAGACATAGCTCTGCGACTTTTAGGTTAACTTCCGTGCATGAGGACGAAGTAGCTAAGCATATTTTAAGTATAAAATCAAATGCCACTGGAGTAGATGCAATAAACATGGACATGATTATAATGACTCTGCCAAAAACCTTACGTGTTATAACAGCTATCATAAATAAATCCATCGAGTCTTCTACATATCCTTCTCTTTGGAAAATTGCCGTTATTCGTCCCATTCCTAAAAATAATAATCCCGCTAATGTTAAAGATTTGAGACCAATTAGTATTTTACCTTATTTATCCAAAATATTAGAGAAGGCAGTTCATGGGCAACTCATGCGCTATTGCGAAGCAAATGGAATTCTTCCATCTTTTCAGTCGGGGTTTCGCAAGCAGCGGAGCACTACTACAGCACTTCTTGATGTCGTTGACAACATTCTGGCTTCACAAGACATTGGAAGGGGTACGATTTTATGTTTGCTGGATTTCTCTCGTGCGTTCGATTCCATAAATATTCAAATGCTTCTTTCAAAGATGGCATATTACGGTTCTGACCACAATACCACGTCTTGGTTCAGTAGTTACCTTAATGGACGTTATCAAAAGGTAGTTATACAAAATTCGGATGGTACAAACATCGAATCAGGCCTCAAGACAATCCGAAAAGGCGTCCCGCAAGGCTCCATTCTTGGACCGTTACTTTTCATCCTGTATAGTAGTGATCTGGCTAAATGTGTTTTGAATTGCCGGTATCACTTGTATGCCGACGATTTGCAGATATACATATCATGCAATGTAAGTGACGTGAACTCTATGGTTAGCAAGTTAAATGAGGATCTGAGTCGTGTTTCTGCTTGGTGTTCTTCAAACAGCCTCGTTTTAAATGCGACGAAATCAAAATATGTCATACATGGCTCCCGTAGTCAGGTCCAAAAGATTATAAGTGCTGATCCACAAATTATTATAGGAGGTGTGGCTATAGAAAGAGTTAGCTCAGCTAGGAATCTTGGGCTGCAAATGGATAGTGAGCTACGTTTTGAAAATCACATATTGGATGTCACACGCTCTTGCTTTTATCGACTAAAAGTTCTGTACAATTTTCGGTCCTATATAAGCCAGGAGCTGAGAGTTCTGCTTTGTGAGACACTGGTATTGTCTAGGCTGAACTATTGCATCACAGTATATAGTGGCTGTCTAAAAAAAAGTTCTCAAAAATTGATCCAGCGAGTGCAAAATTCCTGTGCTCGCTATTGTTTTCGAATCCCTCCTCGCACACATATCACGCCTTATCTCAACAAATTTGGCATACTGAAAATGGATGCTCGTCAGAAATTGTATTTGGCCTGCCTAATGTTTGACATTATTAAAACCCGGAAACCAGATTATTTATACCAGAAAATCGATTGGTCGCGTCCTGTGAGGGGAAATACGTTACGATTGGTTTCAAGAAATGTCATAAACATCCCAAAACACAAAACGGCTGCTTTTCGCGGAGGTTTCAGGTATCGCGCCAGTAAGTGCTGGAACGATATTCCTCCTCCATTGCGTGACGTCACGCGTAAGCTACAATTTAAGCGTGAATATAAAAAACTTCTTTTGTCTAAACAGATATGTACTCGTATTATATAGTAACTCATAATTCTTTAATTCCCCTGAATCTGATACCTGTAAACCTAAAACTAAAAATCAAATAACCAAAAATTAATATTATTGTATTTGTATTTTATATGTATGTGTGGAAATGAGTTTTATTATTATATATTGCTTGCGCATCAGGCTTGACACTATGTTTTGCTCTTAACAATGTTTAACGTATTGACATATATATGTATTTTCTATTCTTTTTTTTTTGTTTTTGTGTTATATATATTTGCGTGTGATCATCACTTTCATCATCACTTTGATGGCATGGCTTATTGAGGTGCGATCGCTCACCATAATATGGTACTGGCAGAAAACCAGCGCTGATAGACTCTTTTCACGGTCTACAGTAATTATGCTGAGCCAGGGCCATTTCAGTACAAACTGTTGCATTTTAGGTATGACCTAGATGTTTTATGTAAAAATGTTGTAATTTTTGTTCTATGTTGTTTTGTGGTGTACCTTGTGATGTAATTGTAAATGTTTTGTTTCTGCTTGTGTTTGTACTGAATAAACGCTTTATCTATCTATCTATCTATCTATCTATAAAATATTGTCATTACAAAAATACTGCTTATCTTTTTCTAATACAATTTTACTCTTAATTTTATTCTAACTTTTAGACAAATACGTTCACTTGATGATTTTATTTCATTTCTAATCAATTAATTGGACATTACTTGCATCAAGAAATTTTCACCTCTTACATCAAATTTAAATAATCTTAAATGAATTCAAAAATTTCTTGAGTGTATTTTAAGAAAATATATTCTTAAACAAAAAAATAAGTAGTTTGCTATTCAGATTAATATTCTAAATTCTAGAGTATATTTTTAAAGCAACATTTCGTTGCGTTTTCATAGTCAATGTTGTCGTGACATTTCGCTGAAGGCGCACGCGGTAACGATTACTTTTACTTGTGCTTGTAATCATAAAAATCATAATCAGCCATTTATCCAACGAAACAATAAGTAGTATCTCTAGTTTATTCGGGTGTTATTTGTAGTCATAATTTAAGAAATTTGGCTTCAGCATGAAATCAAACTACGTTTTTGTAACAAGCACAACTTTAACATGCAATTAGTTCCATCACGCCACTGCTAGATGGCATTAGTTGTACTCTGAAACGCGATCGTTAACTTCGATAGTATAAAGTCATCTCTAATAATAATCAGAAATAATCAGAATTGATAGTGCTTTCTGCCGCGGAAAGATTCCGTCCTATTTCTACTACATTAAGGTTTGGCACTGAACTGTGTGCTTTCACTCCAGTGAGACATACTGTATCCATAAACCTGTAGTGTAAACTAATCCTTTTTGATATTAGAAAACATAAATCTTCAGTCAAATAATTAATTCCTCTTAGACATGGGGAATAGCGTTACATTTCTATCGCCGTGACTGTCGTTCCGGTTGCAAAAAAATCACAGTGATAAATCATCGTGATTTTGTCACGACTGTTACTTCCGTGACCTTGTCCCGCCTATAACTTACATCACGATATACGGTTTTTGCCAGCGGCTTCTTTCTAATACTTATAGCCGTTTTTTATAGAATGATTTAAGTTTTTACTCCCTTTGTAATAAGTTTCAATTCCATTCAAAAATTTGATTTTGTATTTAATGTAATTTTGTTTGTTACTTATTTAATGCGAATCTTTGGATAGTTAAAAATAGCAATAAAGTGTAATGTAATTATATTTCTAGTAGAATACACAAAAGTAGATTATACATAAATATAAAATACCAACTCTTCGTATAATAAAACAAATATACAAAAATATTTTACTTTGTTCATAAATAGGTTTATAATAACTGCTGCAGATTTTTTTCATCCGCCCCTTCTAGTAGTAATAAGCACCTACGACCCTTGTGAGTGAGCAAAGAAAGTCATCCTATTTCATTCACTCCCATCGCCGAAATGGCCCGATTTGAAGAGAACTACAACGAGTGGCGCGCTTAGTCACCACGAAACGGAGATCGCGCATTGTATCAAATACGTATGTAGTGATGTGAGTGACGGGGATAGCTATTGGAACGGAGGAACACCTATGTGACTTTGGAACGTCGTTCCTTCGGAACGAGTCACGGTCATACTGTTTGACTGCTGATCATCGTGATTTTTTCATCGTGACGTTATTTATCATCCACCCCTAGTACCTCTCAATTTTTAATTATTTTTTTTTTTCAAATCAAAATCGGACATTTCTAATAACAAATAAATATTTTGTTGCATCTAGAGTGGCTTTGTGACTTGAAGTAAATTGATTTGCTCTTGGATTAAATATTTGTGTCTTGTAACTAAAATACACTTTTGAGACGTGTTTTTACTATTATCAAGTAATTATTAAGTATTAAGTAGCATGGTGTAATCTATATCCTTGGATGGCAAACGTAGTAAATGTAAGCTGCTAGAATTATTAAGAACACTGATTAAGCTGGCATTGTCTTAAAAAAAGCATATATAAGTAAAATATATACGAGTATAACCGAGGCTAGCACGACAGGGCGGGATCTTTATGCTAGAATAGCAGTATCTCATGCTCTATGTCATATGCCCTATTAAAGCATGTTATAAATTAATTAGTCATAAATTTCATATTCATTTATTGCAATTCGCATGTATTTACAATAAGCTCAAAATTATAGTAGTTACATACACGTGTTATCCTGTAAGGGCGTAGCAAATTAAACTAATTATATAGGAACATTTCATAGAATAGAATACGTTTATTTGCCAGAATACAGTCATTACATAGGTCTTAAGTAAAATTAGATACATTGTATTCAACCTGTGAAGCCAATGTGCAAATATTAATGGCATTTAATGTTTAGGGCCGAGAGAAATATTTGTATGGCCTATATTTATTTCTCTCGTGAGTTTGGGTGTATTTGTGGTTGTCTATGGTTGTCCAAGACACCCGCGACACAGGGTTTCCCTAGTGCGAGGCTATATTGAGTGTGTGCGTTATTATTATTATCAGTCTCTATAGTTTCAAACTATATTATTATATAATTTGTAAATTCTAAGTATTCTTTATTACTATAGAAGCAATGTGTCAAAAGCCATTCTGTCAATTGTAATTTAAAAGTATGTCCGTGTAATAATTTAATTTTGTTTGGCAATTTATTGTAAATAATTATACACATGTTGAAGCAGTTATTCTTATAAATTACTTTACGACAACGAGGTTGGTATAAAAGATTCACAATTTTTGCTCTAGTTTTGATGAAAGTTGACAAATACTGTGCATGTATAGCAAAGGCAATATGTTTAGCCTTTTGAACAGCGGTTTGCAACCTTTATCGAACCACGCACCGCACGTCTCTCGAATACACTTCTTCTGGACTTCAAATTTAAACATAATCAATTGACATAGACATTGCATTATTATTTCTGTACTATAATGACAAATAATTATTAAATTGATTTATTAACCAAACACTTTTATCATCACAAAATCCAGACAAATTATAATATTTGTTTTAATGTGAAAATATTTTAATTTTTTTTTTAATACCATATTTTTTATCCAAGTTCATAACACAACGGTGTAAGAAAACGACTTCCCATAACAACAGCCTCATAATACAGAATGACCTCGTTCCGGCAGGGCGTCTGGCCCCGGGCCGTCTATTGTGGGCGAATGTATTTAAATACATGTGAGAAAAAACCTGGGGATGCATACAAATGCATTGCATGGGTCAAATTCAAACAAAAATATTTATTTACCAAGACAAGACAGCCTAGGTAAGTCAAATTACAAGAAATACAAACTTAAATTATATACAGGTATCTTAAACGTATATAATATACGAAGAGACCCAGACAATTATATTTCTATGATCACGTAAGTGCCTAGGGTAATTTTTAAAGAAAATATCGCATTCAAATTCAGCGCTATATATTACAGAATACATGTGTAGTGTACAGACGTCCATAAGGTTTCTATATTATTTGTTTATTTGCAGTGGAGCTCTTGCAGTGGAGTACTTACCACCTTACCTATTTCTGCCGCCAAGCAGTAACGTGAGCATTACTGCGTTCTGCTTTTGAAAGGGTGTTTGGTGAAATTACAAGCACATGAGACTTGTTAACTGATGTCTCAGGATGACGAGAGCATTAGTGTTGCCCCTCTGATCTTTGCGATTTAAAGCTCTGAGTGACACTGCAGCTGTTATGGACAGGCGTGTCGCTTACCACCAGGCGTACGACTCGTTCGTCCTGCCGCTTGGTATCTTAAAAAAAATCATATCTAGTCTACGTTACAAAATTGACATAAAGGCGCTTATGCTACGAGTATGATAAGAAAATTTCAATCCATTATGTTCTGCGGCTGTGTAGATTGAAGTTTTGGCAGCGATGCCAACCCAATGCATAAGCGCTGCAATGGCGATGCAATAACGATCTAGTCGATAATCGTCCACCTTTACACGCGCGCGATTTTAAGCAGCGATGCAAACGTGAGGCAAGCGCGCGTCTGCATCGATACAAACGCGCGATTGCATTGCTGCACTTGGGATTTATTGGCGCTTGCATTGATGCAATCGCGCGTTTGTACCGATGCAGTCGTGTGTATGTCTATAAATCGCAAGTGTCGGGCGTATCACGAACGCCAAAAGCCGCCGTCTGCAACCACTCTTAGCTGTTTTATATCCATTTCATGTTTGTTTACAAATCTATCTTTACCCATCCTGTATAGTTAGGGAGGTCAAGTCCGAATGGCGATTTTATTATTAGGTGTAAACCTAATAAGGCTTCGAAATAAGTACTTACTCTTATCGATATCTTAATATGAAGATGTTTATTATTATCATCCACAGTATGACTAATAGATAATAGTAGAAAACTGCTTTTTTTTTTTAAATCAGATTTCGTCCTTCGTGTTTTATGAAAACAGCCGAACATAATTGTAATTGAGACTCTTTTTTTTATGAAACCAAGTTACGGGACGAACACGACAAGACTCGTATGCCTGTAATTATACCAGCACCCTTCAAAACTGGAACGCAGTGATGCTCATATAACTGCTTGGTGGCAGAAATAGATACGGTGGCAGTACTTCCCTGGACGAAATACTGCTATTATAACTAAGCTTTGGAAAAAAGCATGACGGATTATGACTCAAATTCTCTTAGAAAAGATTTTAATAATAATGATGGTCATTTCCTTTAAATTTACACAACCAATCAAAATAAGTACTCAACATTGTGTATCGTTTGGAGTGAACTCCAAAACTTCTACATGAACAATTATTTACACTCCACCGCGTGACCTCTTGGACACGTGATTCCAACCCGAATAATCAGCACGTGGAGGCATCTCGTTTCATTTTACCTTGATATCTTGACCTACTGCGTATTGCGCTTTACACTTTGTTTATCTATATAAATCTGTTTGTTTAGGCCACTTGAAAACATTAGACTTATAAATTATGAACCAGCTATTTTTGTTATTATCGGGAGAATAGAGTTTTTGAATAAGTACGAACAAAACGTGCGCCTGGTGGTACCTGGCAGTTGCAGTGCCAGGAACCACCACTGTTCCCGTCACCCTGAGATTTTATTATCCATATATATTACCCATCAAAACCAAAACGCAGTAATGCTCACATTACTGTTTGGCGGCAGAAATAGGTAAGATGACAGATGACAGCTCTACTGTTTAGAGTACCGCTAAATCAGTATATCAAAATTAATAGCTGTTTAAAAAAATAACATGCTGATATTTGGATCGAATTCCAAACTTAAAATCTATGCAATAGAGAACACGTGAACTTAACGCCTGTATCTTGGGTGTAAATTGTTTTTTCCACTGTACCCCTTATAATTATAAATCTATGATGTTGCAATTGGTGATGTGTTGTCATTAGAGGTAGGCGTTCAAATGAAATGCAATTTAAAAGATTGTTTTTTTAATATAAGCCCACAAGCGCCTTTCAAGTTTAATACTGAACAATATATATTTCTTTTACAATGGCCTACGCTTCAAGTCCCGCTGTCAATGTTTCTTAAACAAACTAATTCGTCAATGTAAATAATAATGTTATAAATAAAAATAAAACGTAGTGTTTTACAAATAAATTTACTTGTATTAAAAAACCTTTGGTGGTCTACTGTCGCTTTTCTTTTTTTTATATAACATCAAGTGACGGGACGAACAAGTCGTGCGCCTCATGGTAAGCTACACGCCTGTCCATAACAGTTACAGTGCCACTCAGAGCTTTAAATTGCAAAGATCTGAGGGGCACTACCACTGCGCCCGTCACCCAGAGATATAAGGTGACGAGTCCCGTGTGCCTGTAATTTCACCAGCACCCTTACCCTTCAAAACCGGAACACAGTAATGGCGGCAGAAATAGATAAGGTGGCAGTACTACCCTGGACGAACTCTTTTACAAGGAGCTCTACTACTCCTGCTTTCCGCTGTCAAAGCATTATTGCAAGCTTTTTTTAACATAAACCCTTAAACGTTTTTCTAACGATTTTGTAAGCTTCTAACTAAAATGTCAAAAACCGCTTTTATAAGCATGTTTATTTGAAAAAGTACAAAGTTTTAACGTTTAAAATTGCAGTATCTCTAGTTGTCACTTCCTGCCTAATATTTCAGCTGTATGAGTGTAAACGTACACTTGATTTCGATGAACCCTGGCCTTGTAAATAGCGATACACACACTTATGCACCTGTTGAACAACCACACATGTACATTACACGGACATGCACTTTCAGTGGGGGATGCACGTAAGACAGAAAGAGAAGGCAATATAATTTCAGGACGTGTATGCAAAAGGTGGGAGGAAGAACGCTATATTTCAGATTTTTAGGTTTTCAGTGTCTACATATTGAGTGTGCCGCGCTACTGCTTTAGTAAACTATTCGAGTTTATATGATCCTGGTACGTGCAAATGAATTTCAGACGGTTAACAATTTGTTAATAGCTCCCATAAATGGCGCTGTTGCTTGTTTATACAAAAATGTATTAGAATATTAGTGGCCTTATATGGTCAATGGTGACCACTCAGTTTTACAACATCATTTGGCAAATAAAAAAAATATTTTCTCCTAGTCTCGAAACTTCTAGTATTCTTGAATAAATAAAGAATCGTTAGAAGTGATAGGTAAGACAAAATTTTAGGATTATATTGTTAGGATTTAGTCTCTTTGGAAGAGAGGGTTTAAATCGTGGTGTACCACTGAAAGGGTTGTAACCCTAACAACCGTGATCAGGATCATGGCAGTAAAACAGGAAACTTCCGGTCCACAAATTTATTTAACGTGAAGTAAAAGGTAAAGTAAAAAAAACTGTAACCAATAAAAGGTAGACGTAGAAAACAGTACATTAATAAAAAAAACACTCCCTAACTTAACCTAAAAAATGGTAGATGTTATAGATTTAAGGCATTTACCCTTTATCGGGTTTTATTATGTTGAATTACAGGTATTGGATAGACTGTTAATCGCTCATTGTAGTCGATATATAATTTACATTGATTGTGTTATGATTAAACTTGAAAAGAAATAAAAATTACACAATTTGATTTAGTAGTTCAGCCCGCTATCGCGGTCAAGCAGAGAATGACCGTGGTACGAAGCAAAAATGAGAAAGCGAAGGAAGATGGAACAATTCCAATTTAAATACAAGCAAAAGAAAAAATGATACGATACAAAAAGGTGAGATGAGAGTGTAAGGAGGTCACACCGTCACACCATGCTGGTTCAACACAAAATGGGGACCATGTTCTCGTGGAAAATTGTAAAAATCTTCTCCGTATTAGGTATCTTAAAAAATTATACAAAATTCATAAGCATGCCACCAGCAGGCAGGCATTCGTAGTTTCTGTCAGTTTGGTTGTATCTTCTCATCGTTGGTAGACTTTAGACTTTATTGCTTTGCGTCAAAATGTTAAATGGACTCCTGATTTAGTAACCTGTAATAGAATTTATGCTGTTCCAGTCTTCGTATCTGAATTTTAGACAGGGAACGACCTAGTTGAGGCCAGTTTTTGCTGCCTTATAATTTTTACAAATATCTTCCAGCTGATTACAATAATGGTGATTTTGATGATGATTTAATGCTAATGCATTGGCTATTATAAAACGCAAAGAACCAATGCGCGTAGTGGATATGACCTTATGTGTAACATAGAGACGCCAATATTTAGGTCCTATAATGAATGGTACTCGATCGGCACACAACAAGTTTCAGGAATTTTAATTGAAGTTTATACCAGCTTACATTTTCATTATTTTGTCTGGATCCACTTGTTCTTGGTTTCAGACTTGTCCTCTTCACATGCATCTTTTAAAATGAATTACTATTTACATAATTATATGCATACATATACTATCTCTATTTTTGCTTATTTGCGCTGCCTTTTTTTAAGATTTAGCCAGTGTCAGTTTTGTATAAAATAATATAATAAATAAGACGATCATCGTTAATGACAGCAGCTGTTCAAACACTTCGACAGCTCTTAACTATAAGTTCAATATTGTGCTCATAGATGGCACTTTACAATCTTCGATGAGTCATTGCGATGAGACTATAGTTTTCGAATACCAGTGGTAGATACTAAAATTTATTAAACAACTGTTACACCATGATGTTGTTGTCTTTTTATCTCATTATCTTATTGTGTATTAGCAAAGTTGTGTAGTTGTATGCTAGCAACAACACGTACATTATTATTATTCGCAAATGACCTATATACGAACAGTGCAAGTTATCTAAAACCTTGTAATAAAAGGGTGCAAAGAGAACCAACTAATCCTGTTTTACAACTACTAAAGCATTTGCTCCACACATACTCATGTTCTCGTTACGCCGCGATACGTTGCAACGAACTGCTTCAGGTTTATGTGATCTTGGTACTTCAAACTGAATTTCAGATGGGGTACGATTTTGTTTGGCGCTGTCGAGCCTTGTTTGTGGCGCTCCCAAGGAACATACTTTATACGCCTTAAAAGTGTTATCTATAAACAGTCTTCATATGGTATAGATTTAGATAATAGTTCTCTATAAATGGTTTTATAGAGAACTATTAGAACAATTATATAAGAACAATGTCTTTTTTCTATTTACGACTTATTTCACTCAAGTCCAAATTTTAAAACCTTCTTAATACCAGACAACTTAATTAAGTGTAATCTCTCTTAAGATTTACTCTTATAGTCCTTATTTTAAGTTCATCTGTAGAACAACAAATTATTTTTAGTAAAATTGGTCTATACACATCCAGTAAAGTCTATTAATATTCTGAAAACTAGTGTTCTTAAGTTTATTCTAGATGTATTTAACTTATAGATATTGTACAGTGTTTGTACTTAGTGACAAACACGTTATAGCGCGTCTTCAGTAGCTTTTATTTAAAAAAATACTACAATTAGGGTTTTTACTCTATTGGATGTTGTAAGAGTTTATGCAAAATGGATAAAGTATAGAATATTAAAATATATGGTGGAGGTGGTGAACCTTGGATATTAAGTCACATCATTCGATACAATTAGCTTTGCCAATTGTTCAAAATCCCCAAAAATCGCGGTCAAAATCCCCAAATTTCGGGAGAGTAAAGTTTATATTCCCCACAAATTCCCCACATCTCGAGTTTTCATTATTTATTAGAAATACATCGCTTAAAAATATAATAAAGAATTAAGAAACTCTAAATGTAATAACCTGTTACGTTTGCTGTGAATGTAAACAGAATGTAAAATGGAAAACTAATTATAGAATTAGATGACCTTAAATCGTTTATTTATTTTAATTAGATTCAACGTTAATCTGTGATCAGTCTTTGAAAAAAAATCCATTTTTTTTGCCTCACAAAATTAAGTAAATTGATTATTTCTTGTGCATTTGGTGACACTATGTTAATGTTAGAAATAATCAATGAGTTCCTACCTATATTTGATATTTAAAGTTGACGAGTGGTAAGTTGTGATGTGGAAGTACCAACTGCTCGGCTTTGTTTATCAATAGCCGATTTCGTTTTGCTTCATACCGGGGGCCGGCCTAAGCGGGAGAAAGAATCGCGAACTCAACACGCACCGACTGGTAATTTTACAATTCAGAACCAAGTGCTCTATAATAATTCTATTTATGCTGCTTGTTAATAATACGAGTGACATGCGATGTTGAAAAACACGTCGATATAGTCCACCAGTGTTTCTAACAGTAACGATCAAACTAGCGATGCATCAGCAATTGATAGATTAAACAAAATGATAAAATGTTAGAATCCCCACATTTTCCTCACATAGCGCCAATCCCCACAAAATCCCCAATCTAGTTGAAATTCCCCACAATTTGGGGAATTTCCCACAAATTGGCAACGATGGATACAATATTCGTAATTCGCGCGCGAGCCGGTCATGGCCGGTCATGTTTGTTGACAAGTAAATAAGAAGTGATAAAAACAATTGAAATGAGCGCGTAAACTACTGTGCTTCAATGTTGTGTATGTGTATTGTGCCATCTATCAATAGAATACAGTGAAATCATTGTGTGTAATGTGGTTGACGTGAAGAAATAACCTCAATTTTGTAATGAAAATTTTATTTCTTCCAACGTAAGTTAGGTATGTCATTAAAATATTCCTTATATTTATATGATAGGGAATTTATCCACCTTTCTAGTCATATATAACATTCCATATAATTATATAGAATAACGTTTTTTTGCGACAAATTGGATTTCTTTAAATTGTTTTTTTGACCTAGTGTTTTGAAAAGTTTTTTATTGCATAATACGCTCACTACACTTTTATAAAGGTTTTGTAATACTGTCAAAAGAAAAAATCGCTTAGAAACATCGCGTTTTGTAGACAATCATAAAAGTTTTATAGGAGTGAATATGCTTCTACAAGACCAACTACTAAATCAAGTAAAAATAATATTTTCGTGTTCTAAAGTGTTACTATAGATAAAGCTATAGACAAAATGCTCCCAACGGTGTTTTGAAAAAAGCTTTAAATTCTTATCGCCATAATCATTCAATTTTTATTTTTAAAGTATGACTATGACCTAGCTGAGAAAAATTTCTTTTCTTTTTAAAAAGAAATCTAAGTAGAAATTAGCTTGAAGAAACCTAGAACTTCTTGGAAATGGTTTGTTTTGTGAGTTATTTCGTATATTTAAGCACTCTATAAATATTTAAAATTGAAAATCTATAACTATATTTTTATTAAGTTTATATTTTATATATAAATATTTCAAATTTAGCGAGCGCCTTACTTTTAAGACAGGTTTTACATCACTTTTCACAATGTATTTAAAGTCGCACGTCAATTCGCGCTTTATAACCGATTAGACATTGCGAGAAAAAGTCAGAAATATTATATCTAATTTCGCCATATTGCAATTTTGGTAGTTTATATTTTGTAAGCCATAAAACTTGAAATCTATTAGTATTAAGAGAATTGCGTCTTATGTTTGTAACGCTTTAGTATTTTGGTTTTAAAATAGCATTATTAAGAAAACTATCATAGACTATAAATTATCTAAAAACTGTCTACAAGACTAAATAAAAACTGTCTACATTCTACAAATGGTCTTGTAGTATTCTAGGAGGGTTACTTGAGAAAAAGATAAGAATCACTTAACACTACCTACAGATAGTTTCTCAAAGCACTCTTGTGATCTACTAATAAAGTTGTGCTCACTTTTACTTTAAATTATCTAGAAACCTTCTTCGAGATATCTTGAGGGTATTTGAACTCTTAAAATATTCATTCGAATTAAATCCTATTAGATATCTTATAGTATATATATATCTTAATATATACTATAAGATATGTAATAGAATTTAATTCGACCCATAACCCATATCTATGGGTGGGGTGCTTGGGCTGCTTTGTCTGATTTCATGATACTATTTCAACATGCACCGCCGCGGAGATTAGGTAGTATTTTGATTTGTCTGTCTGGATTTTAATAAGTGTTTTCTGGAAAGAAAAAAAAAATTTACATTATTGCCATTGACTTACAAATAAATGGACGACGGGTCTAATACAAAAACCACGAAAAAAATGTCCCAAGTCAACCTATTCGAAATTTAAATTGTAATGTCATCGCAGTATCGCGCTGTCAGTAGAACAAATGAAGACTAAAGCGGAGTGTCGCGCTCTGTATACGATTTTAGCGCCTTACAAGTGCGGACACTTTTTAGCGCGGACCCGACGTCCATATAATTGTAAGTCAATGATTATTGCCTTCTTTTTCATATTGCTTAGCCTTTTCACATGAGTAAAGATAGGCCTTGTGTTATTTATTCTTTTCGTTCGAGTTATGTTCGATGTCAATGGCGTCTCACAAATTACACTAAGATTTTAGATACTAAAATAATTCTCTATCACGTAAATCACGACTACTACAGTGCCACCTGTTGAGCAACATTGGCATCGGTCGTTTGGAATTTGGTCGAGTATTCTCAGGATTAGTGGAATGTAGAC